GCCCTGGATGCTTCGGTCACAGAGTTACGTCAAATTCCGCGTGTTCGTGCGTGAGTGGCGAAGTGAATGCTTTCTTCGCCCGCAGTTGCTCAAGCGCGGTCCTGGGTAACTCTCCAAAATTTTCAGCACTCCAGCTGCTCCGGTTGCAGAGTTACGCCACATTTCACGCGTGTGCACGTGAAACGCACGTGAGGGATGAAAGTGAAATGTAAGTCGTTTTGCGTGTATTTGGTGAAGGGCCACCGTCGGTTATGCTCAGAAAGTCCAGGTCCTCTGGCCGGTTCAATTTTGAAGGTACAAAAGCGCATATGTGAAATTTTCATGTGTTTGTACGTGAGATGCAGAAGAGCTGACAAGTAATTTACTTTCACGGTCACAACAGTAGGCGGCAAGTAAAACTGCAAAATTGCAGCTCTCTGCAGCTTATTGAACAGCTTAAATCTGGAGCTGGCATGATGCCAATTTAAACTTTGACGTGTGCGTACATGAGACCTGAGGGTGTGTGAAGGCTGAATTTGAAATCTTTGGATTGGACGCGGCCAAGGAACACCTCTGTGAAGTTTCGGCCTTCTAGCGTGAGCCGTTCCTGAAAACGCTTTCCCACCAAAAAAAAACTGCTAAAAACGCATAAAAACATAGCTGCTAAAAACTGCTAAAAACGCATAAAAACTCGGTTTCTGGGGCAGCCTTCCATGCGCACGGCGACAACGAACTCAACTTTCAATGCCTTTTACATTTTAAGCTTCATTAAAAAAACCGGAAATGAAACTGCCTCAAAATTCACTTAGAAGCAAAGGCGTTGGAAGCACCTCGAGTGGTATGTACACTTCATGCGAATGTTTAGTCCTGCACACTGTTGGCACTCAAATAACTTAGTAACCAGAATGAGCAGGAACGGTTTTTTCCGCGGATATTTGCTGCTTATGTACGAGCAACCAAGCCTAAGATAAGCTTCTGTCCAGGTTCACACACTGCCTACAAATGCATCAGATGACCAAATTGCAACACCGTAATTACACCTCAGTAGTACACTTGATTCTCTACAGAAAGGAGTCGTTTAAAAAAGCATGGTCGTGTCGGCAAGCTGGCGCATCGCCACCTGGGTTAGTGCAGAAGCATATGAAAATGAAGTAAGCTTGCTCCGCTTGCCACCGAAACTTACAAAAGTATCCAATTGTTGAAAAAAAAAAAAAAAATGAAAACAATGATTAAACTTCTTCATCTGTGATGTCGCTCATTTGTACAATACGGCTTTGTTTAATATAAATCTAAGTTTGATTTTTTACTCGCGTATATTTATTACAGGCATGTGATCTGCTATCGAAGGTCCCTTATCTAATGACTGCATGCTGCAATCTTTTTGAAGAAATATGTTCTTCCTTTATGGAATAGCACTGTAAAAAAATTTCAAGATATATGCGAGGCACCTGGTTAAAGTTATTTTGAGGATAAAGCAAAGTAAAGAGTACAAATGAGGCGGCAAAGTGCTCCTAAAACTTATAATTTTTGATTGACCCACTTCGGACGCTTGCAAAATTTCAGTTTTTTAGTTTTATTAATTTGGGCAATACTTCTAACATTCGTGGACAAGGGCATAGTTACGCCTAAATATCTTTTTATAATGACTGATGCAAAAAAAGAATGAAAAATGATTTTAACGCACTCATAAAGAAGGGTATCGCTTTCCTCCAACCCTCATACTTGGACTGA